GACCACAAAGCCTTCTTTCAGTAGACCATAAGGACTTCTCTCAGAAGACCTAAAGGTCCTTTATCAGAAGACCAGAAGACCTTAAGGTCGTTTATCAGAAGACCAGAAGGTCCTTTATCAGAAGACCAGAAGATCCTATATCAGAAGATTCAGAAGGTCCTATATTAAAAGACCAGTAGGTCTTCTCTCCGAAGACCGGAATTTCTCTTTCAAAAGACCAGTACGTCTTCTATTAGGAGACCAGAAGACCTTTTCTCAGAGGACCAGTAGGTCTTCTCTCAGAAAAACAACATGCCTTCTAGCAGAAAACCGGAAATTCGTCTTTTAGAAGTCCTTAAGGTCATTTATCACAAGACCAGACTCAGAAGACCGGAAGATCTTCTCTTAGAAGACCAGAAGATCTCCTCATAGAAGACCAGAAGATCTACTCATAGAAGACCCTAAGGTAATTTATCAGAAGGTCATTTTTAGAAGACCACAAGGTCCTTTTCATAGGACAATAAAGTCTTTTTCGGAAGACCAAAAGGTCGTCTCTAAGAAGACCAATAGTCCTACTCTCAGAAGACCAGTAGGTCTTCTTTTAGAAGACCTTAAGATCCTTTACCAGGAGACCAGAAAACCTTTACAGAAGACCAGAATGTCTTCTTTCAGAAGACCAGAAGGTCTTCTCTCAGAAGATAAGAAGGTCTTCTCTTAGAAGACCAGAAGGTCTTTTCTCAGAAGATCAGAAGATCTTTTCCAGTAGACCAGAAGGTTTTCTCTTAGAGGACCAGAATGACTTCTCTCTGAATATCTTAATGTCCTCTATCAGTAGCAGTAGTCATCTCTCAGAAAACCTTAAAGTCATTTTTCAGAAGACCAGAAGCTCTTCCAGTCTTTTGTGAAAAGACCTTCTGGTCTTCTGATAAATTACCTTAGGGTCTTCTGATAAAGGACTTTTTGGCCACCTGAAAGAAGACCTTAAGGTAATTTATCAGAAGACCAGAAGGTATTCTCGCAAAAGAAAAGGTTTTTTATCAGAAGAGTTGAAGGTCTTTTAGCAGCAAGCCAGAAGGGTTTCTTACAAAAAGCTAGCAATCCAAAAGTCTTTCTATAAAAGACCAGAGAGTCTCTCCACAGGATTTAACTCTAAACTACGAGACATGTGTAGGTCTAATCACGATGTGTTTTAATTAGTACCTTTGTTGAATAATTCACGTGAGATTTGAATTGAAATTCGTTAATTATCTTTGTGGTTATTTTATCAGTTTATTTCTCTCGAATTAGCATTTAACAGCGACCTAATTGATTGTGAATTATTTTTTGAAATGTGATTTGAATTTTACAATTCCATAAATAAAATGTTAATCCCCTTTTGAATAGCTTAAAAATTAATGGATGATAAAAGTTGGCTGCAATTTAATGCCTAATTATAGTTTTCCAAAGTAAAGTTTTGAGAAGTTGAGAAAATATGTCTAATATAGCTTAGAAGGTCAAAATATTTATTGGGAGATTATTGGAATTAAAGCACCTGAAAGAAAAACTTTTTTTTTTAATTAAGCTCTGAACATATGTTCAATTCAGTACAGATTTTTTTAGGTACAATTCACGTCAAAGAGTAGGGTTAATACTCTTTCCCCTGAACTTTAACATCTTCCCACACACACGCAGAAAACCAAACCCATTATTTGCAATTAATATTAATGACGTCATAAAGATACCATTCATTTCCATCTTAATGATGCAATGGTTGCACCTGTGCAACCAACAACAAAATACCTCTTTACAAAAACAAAATGCTATTAAGTTTAAGCTTTAAATTGTAGTTGTGACGACGAGTCGACGAGATACACACAGACAAACTTTAATAACATTATTCAACAACAATTGAAATATGAAATATAAAACCCGGAATATCATAAAATGCCATATGTGGTGGAGACACCAACACACCCACATCTACATCCCATTCATACATACATACGTCATAAATAACAATAGCATGAAAATGAATAAGTGCGGAGGAAACATAAATATGACCATATGATTTGATTTTCTTATGTAGTTGCGGGTGTGTGTATGCGTGTCAAACACTCATACACCCATCCATGTGTGTATGTATACACAATTATAAAGGAAAAACAAACAAACAAAAGTGAAAAATTTTAAAAGAAAAACACTAACGAGCACATCAAGTGACATTAACCTTTAGCCGAATTGTGTCGAAGCTCCGGACGAAAAAAAAGCTTTTCCTTGTTTCATAACAAAAACAGCTGTTCTGTGGGTATGAAAGTAACCTCCCATAACAAAGGAGTCAAAGCTCTTTGTTTTGTTTTCTGCAATGTATGAAAGAGAGCATGAAAAGGAAAACATTTTTAAGGGAGGATAAACAACTAGAGGGGGTAGTTTGTTGAAGAATAGTTCCCTACAATGTTGAGAGTAGAAAAAGCTTAATAAAAATAATTTTAAAAATTAATAAAGTTCTTAGTCTTCTGTATTATCAAATGGCTTTTCCATAGAAATGAAGACCTCTTAGATTTTCCAATTAAAAGAGAAGCCCTTTTAAAGGCCTTTTACAGCCCTGAAGAATATTTTAAAGATCTTCCATAAAAAGGGTAACTTTAAACGGGAAGATACACCTTTTTCAGAGGTTTACCAGAGTACACAAAACATATCATTAAATATTGTTTTCTAGGAATATAACCCGTTATGGAGGTGTTGTATAAAATATAATTGAGGTCTTCTATAGAATGGACAAATGTGGAAGACCTCACATATAGAATAGAATCACTTTTAGAAATTGACTGTACATTAGAAGTCACTTTAGAGGCACAAGTAAAATAAGAACTTAAATCGGCCTAATCTAATTTTCTATGCTTTCACCCTGATATATGATATATTTGCGATATAACCATATTTTGCGTAGAGGTTTTCATATCCTCATGGAAAGTATATATCATTTTAGACCCTACGTCTCTTTGGACCAAATCCATTTCAGGACATTCGGAGTCGAAGGGAGTATCTGATTTGGTCAAAACTTGGTACATCGTAATATTTTTGTCAATCCTAGATCGAGTTCGAGTGTGGGCAATATCGGTCCACTCCTACTGGTAGCTCCCCACAAAAAAAATATTTTACTGCAGAGAAAGAGAAAGTATGATCCGATTCTGTTCCAACTCTGCGAATTCTAATATCAGAGCTTTCAGAGCTAATATCGGCCCACTCCATCAAGTACCTCCACCACACAACACACAACCCAAGGTCTGGTGTAAAGATGGAATGTGTCAGTCCACTCCTTCTTCTACCTCCCCAACAAAGGGTCAAAATTTTGAATATCCATGAAGTTCATATAACGCGAAATTAACATCCGAATCCATACAGACTTGGCATATCTCAATATTTCTATGATTTCTTTTAAAAAGATGGTAAAGATCGGACCATTCCTTCTAGTGACTCCCCCACAAAGGGTCAACGTTTTGAGTAACCAAAACTATTATAAAATCCGAAATAAGCATCCGGTTCTCTTCATATTTCACGCATCCCATTATTTATACTAACACAAGAACTGCTCTGAAGATGGGATATGTCGGTCCACTCCTTATGGTAACTCCCCCACAAAGGGTCAAAATTTTGAATATACATGAAGCTCGTAAAACGAAATTAACATCCGATTTCATTCAGACTTGGTACATCTCAATATTAGAAGGTCTTTGGACTTCTGTTTATTAAAAAAACTAAAACAAGCTTTCTGTCTATTGCCTATCCATCCGTTAAATTGAAGATATTCCAAAACCTAGACTTTAAAACAATTGACAAATGTTGCCATTGTTATATTGTTCTATAAAACCTACGTTGCCTAATCAAAGCTATAGACCAACAGATCAGGTCTTCCGTCTATAGTCACATGGCCTTAAAAAATTGAAATAATTTGAGTGGATTTTTTTAAATACTATTACTCTAAATTATTGCCATTTTCCAGGGTCTTCAAAAATTTTAAAATCAGTCATTCTTACTTATATCGAAACATGGAACGAATTTTTATTCTATGAAAATCTATGTTGCCTAATTACAACTATTGGCTAACAACTTCAAAATATCGAAAATCGGAAACTAGCGATATGTAAGCGCTACACTAAGAAGTGGACCTAAGGCGGCCTTCAAATGAAAAGTCTTGAGTAATAATTTACGAATATAAGGACAATAACGGGAAAAAATCGAACTTGAGGATCTTTCAAATTTTATGATTTTGAAATACAAAAACTGTACTAAAAAAGTTCTCGGCAAGAGTAGAATATGCTCGATTTTGAACGAATTTTGCTAAAACTCGAAAACGAGGAAAATATGCTTACTTCTATTCGGGCGACATCGGAAAATTATGTTTACTCAATTTTTTTTCTGATCCCAGAAACACAGTCGCTTGAATTCGGGAGAGTTTCATTCTTTGAACAAATTCGAGAGAGTTTTACGTAGGTTTGGTTTTTGCCGTTCAAAAAATGCTATTTTCCGAATTCGGTTATATTCACAGAGTTCGCCCCTGACTTTGGCGCTGGTGGAAAAGAATTCGACGAGGAGTCGAAATGCCAGACCACGGTTCCCCTGGTTTAATTTAATATTAATTATTAATATTTTAATATTTCCGATTTTAATAAATAAAATCATCTTTATATGTTTCCATATTATCCCCTCTATAATATTCTATCCTGAAGAAATCACGCTAAGAACAGTCCTTTGAAACCACAGTGCCCACTCACAACCATCATCCACACAAAAATTATTGTCCTAGAGCGAGAATAGAACATATGTTTCGCTATTGTCCCACCCCCGACTTCGCACCATTGAAATCGGAAACGAAAAACTTTCACTTTTGTTTTGAATATTTTTTTTTTTGGCGGTAAATGGAAGCGAAATCCTCTTCTATACTTCTCGTTTCTTGTTGTTGTTTTTATTGTAGCTTTAACAAATGTCAAACTCTTGGAGGAAAGTGAAAGCATTTGAAAAAAGAGCTTTTTGGAGGTCCTTTCTTAACACAAAAAACGGACGAACTGAAACAACTTCAGTGTTGTTGAAGCTCTCACGTAGCCATCAGTTGCCCAAGGGCTGCTAAACGGAAATGTTGTTCGAAACGAAGAAGAAACCGATAAAAATGTGACCCGTTTGAAAAGAAAAAATACAAGAAAGGAAAATAATCTTCTCAAAATAGGGTGACCTATAAATAATTGAAATGTAACGAAAAAAAATACAAAATTTTTTAAAAAAAAATAAAAAAAAAGTAAAATAAAAATGAAAAATATCAAAAATTAAAATTCGAAAAATGAAGTGTTGTACTTAAAAAAGTGTAACCATTAAAAATTAAAAATGCTTTAAAATTGTTTCAATACACAAATATCTTTAAAAATATATTGAGAGTGCGGCTTTTTTCGTTGCACTTAAGAAAATTAACCTTTTCCCATGAAGCTCACCCCCCAAAACGGAACATCAATTTTGCTAAATGACCTGTTTCAAACGTGCCAATATGAAAACGTAGGAATATCATAACAAGACAAATATCACTCCATCCACGGGTTTTTGGACAACGCCGACTGTCGTTATCACCGCCATCAGTGACATAGGCTTCGGCTTTTTTTTTTCTTTTTTTGCATTACACCGGGCAACATAAGCGGTCATTTTGGAATACAGAAATTAAAAAAAAAAAAACGAAAAACTATTTTTAAGAAAAAAATTAAAAAAAAAATTGAGGCAAGACCTGTATTTAGGAAGACCCACCTCTTATCCCAATAAAAAACCAATGAACATAATTTTTCTATAAGCTTTTGGCCTTTAGAGAGTCTATATAAGGTATTACGACTATGTAAGGCCAAATAAGGTTTTTTGCCTATGAATGTAGATAGATGTAGAACCGATTTTTTTGTCCCTTACCCTGATAAGAAGAACTATAGAGGAGACTTATAAAGGTGAGATCTTCTGTCTGTGGAAGATCACTTGATGGCCTTATGTCTACAGAAGACCCATATAAGGTTTTCCTGCCTATAAAAGAATTATGGAAAGTCTTCCGTCTGCGAGAGACCTATAGTGGGTCTTCTGGATATAAGAGGTATTCTGTCTAGAGAAGACCTATACATAAGTTATTCTCTTTATTGAAAACGTATGGAAAGTCTACAGACTTTTCTATCCCTCTCTCTCTTTCTTCTGACTAAAATACATATATAAAGTCTTTTGTCTACAGAAGGTTAATAGACGATCTTCTGCTATATCAGGCTTAAGAAGGTGTTTTGCCTATACAAGAATTATATAAACTCTCCTGTATATAAAAGACCTGTATAACGACTTTTGTCTACAGAAAACCCATTGAAGGTCTTCGATCTACAGAAGAACTGTAGAAGCTCTTCTGTCTACAGAAGATACTTGGAAAGGCATGTGTCTGAAGAAGACCTATGGACAGTCTTCTGTCCATAAAAAACCTTCAAAAGTTCTTACAGAAAATCTTTAGTAGGTCTGTAGAAGACCGATATAAGGTCTTCTGCCTTAAAAAGACCCATAGAAGGCCTTCTGTTTTTAGAAGACTTATAGAAGCTCTTCCGTCTAATAAAGATCTTGAGAAGGTCTTCTGACCAAAGAAGACATATAGCAGGTCCTGCTCATACAGAAGGTCTACTGTTGATGGAAGACTGATAAAAGTTCTACGGTCTGCAGATCTCTTCTGTCCATAAAAAACCTTTAAAACGTTTTCACCCTACAGAAAACCCTTAGCAGGTCTGTAGAAAACCTTCTTTCTGTAGAAGACCACTTAAAGGACTTCTGCCTTAAAAAGAACCATAAATGGCCTTCTCTCTTTAGAAGACTTATAGAAGGTCTTCCGTCTACAGAAGTATTGTGGAAGGTCTTATATCTGAAGAAAACTTATCAAAGGACTTCTGTCTATAAACCACCCATAGAAGAAAGTCCTCTGTCTATTGAAGAGAATTCTGTCTATAGAGGACCAATAGAAGATATTCTATATACAGAAGACCTTCAGAACGTCTTCCTTCTCCAAAATATCTAGAGATGGTTTTCTGTCCATAGCAGACCTATAGCAGGTCTTCTTTATACAGAAGACCTACAGAAGCTCTACAAAAGATCTTTTGCTTTCCGAGGACGTTGGGAAGATCTTCTGTCCCTAGAAGACCTATATAAGATCTTCTATCTATAAACGACCCGTAGATGATATTCTTTCAATAAATGATGTATAGAAGGTCTTTTTTTCTTTAGAACCCCTACGGAAGGTCGTAAGTCTAGAGAAGCCCTGTAGAGGTCTTCTATTTTGTCTTTAGAAGACCTGCAGAACGTCTTCCATCTCCAAAAAGTCTAGAGATTGGATTCTATCCATAGAAGACCTATAGCAGGTCCTCTTTTTACAGAAAACCTACCTGAGATCTCCTATCTACAGAAGGCCTATAAAAGTTCTTCTGTCCACAGAAGACCTATAGAAGATTTTCTGTCTATAAAAGACCCGTAGAAGATATTCTGTCAATAACAACCTATAGATGCTCTTTTTTTTCTTCAGAAGTCCTACGGAAGGTCCTAAGTCTATAGAAGCCCTATAGAGGGTCTTCTATCCAAAATAAAGACCTATAGAATATATTCTGCTTATAGGGCTTCTAAAATATCCATAAATTATCTCCTGCCAAAAGAAAATTTGCAGAAGGTATCCTTCTTCTATCAGATTTGTTACCCAGTGTTAAAGGTCTCTTATCCGTGTTATGGTGTTATCCTTAAGGTCATATAGACCATAACTAATGTGAAACACGCACCGTTCTTTTTTCTGCGGGATCTCTTTCGGCTAATCACACATCGGCCGTGGCGGGGAGATGTAACGACAGTATTTATGATGCCAATAAATTAAATCAGTTAGCAAAATATATGCGCATGCATATAAAACAGCGAGTGGGCCCAGGACAAGTGTGTTATGAATTTAGGTTCCTAGGGGAGCAAAACCAACCGAAAAAATCGTGAAACAAAAGGAAGCTCAATGGAGGAGTAACATCCAAAAACAATAACGGCAAAGTGAAGCAATGGCAGACAATTATTTTTAATTGTTTTTTTGTTAAGGGCAGAGTGTGAGCGTTTTTTGTTATCATGGTGTGTGGCCAAACATTTGTTGTTGCTTTTGCTTTCTAACGATTGTCATTAAAATCAACAGATAATCGAGAAAAACGGCAAAAGTAGAGAAGTGGTCAACAAAGAAGAAGCAAACAAATCTCGCCATGCTGATGGACAAAACCAACAGCAGCAGTGGCGGTGACAGTGGCAATAATAACAACATCAACAACAACAATAATAATGTAAAACTCAGTTCGGGTCATAACAACAACATTAACGGTCGCGTTATTGGTCACATTGTTGGCGGTCTGCGGGGCAACAAAGTTACACCAAATGGCAGCTGTAGAGCCGCTGGCTGCGCTGGTGGCGGAGGCAGTGGAGGAGGTGGTGACACAATAACTGTCTCAATGGCGTGTAAAGATGATTATGCCCGCCATGACCACAACAAAGAAAATCGAAATAACAAAGATAACGATAATGATGAGGAAGTAGGGAAAGACAATAACGAACGGCGAGATAATAAACAAAACCTACGGCCCGAAAAAATTAATAAACATTTAGCCATCGATAGTGATGTACGAGAAGATGAGGACGAAAGCGACGAGGATGATGAGGAGGAGGAGGAGGAAGAAGAGTATATGGAAGAAGAAGAAACAAGCAGTCTGCTACGTGGCCTAAGAGCAGAGGAGGAGGACGATGACGACTACTATGATGAGGATGACAATATTGCCACGGTAAATGCCCTTGTAAAGTTGTTGTTTATTCATAGCATACCTTGAGGCTGACCAATCATGTTAACAGCTTCTTTTTTGTTTTTGGTTAAATAAATCAAATTATAAGCACTTAGGCATAAATACTTAGAATTTGAATATTTTAACGAAGATTAAAAATTAAGATATTTTTCAATTGTTTTCGTTTGCATTGACTTTTTGGTAGCTCCAAAGGTAGTACCTTCATAATGGAGTATAAGATAAATAAAAAAGGACATTTGCTACTTGATGAGCTATAAAATGCCTTCGATTTATACAAATATAGGAGTAAAAAGGGGGAGGGGGATAAAAACTAATCATTTTCTACTGGAAGAGCTATGAAATGCTTGTGATTTATACAATGGGAGAAGCTTAAAGGGAGATGGGTATAACAACAAATTCAAATAAACACAACCAATACTTTTTTCTATAGAATGTCTTCACTCCATAGAACGACAACAGAAGGTTTTATTTTGCGATAGAAGATGTATAGATCTGTGTTTAAGAAAACGGCTTTTCTCCAAAGAATACCTATGCCACATATTTTATTTTATAAGACCTATAGAAAATGTTCAGGCCGTGGAAGGCTTATGGGCTTTCCATCTGTAATCTATCTTTCGTGTCAAGGCGACCTTTAGAAGGTCTTCAATTTTTAGAAAATCTTTTATATTATCTAAAACAAGTAAAACAGTTTCAGTCGGTTTTGACGAAAGATTTTTACCCCCAGCCTTGAGTTATGAATATTAAAAACTGTTGGCCCTATATGGGGGAGGTTTCGTAGCAGTTGGCCAATATTGACCAGTACGTATCTGATCTAAGCCTGAAAAAAACCATTACAACGTGCCAGATTTGAACTATATCGACTACTTCCTATACATTATATAAGATATGTGCAAATTTTTGAAAAATGAGGAAATATGCGAGAGGTAACATATATAGCAGGCCGAGATATTCCATATTCATACTTCATGCAATACAGATAAAAATATGTTGCATTTTAAGGGAATCGAACAATTATATCCAATTTTATGCGAAATCATAGATTTCGATAAATTATATGTTCATATTCTGGTTAAGAGAAATAGTTACATATAGTAAGTTGTAAAGAATCGCCGACTTGTTTTCCAAGTTATGACAGATATATGTATTAAAAATTCTGAACCCTTGTAGGTGAGGTACCAGAAGGGTTTGCAGATGTATATCATCTTCACAAGAGATCTTGCGTTAGCAAAAATATTTGAATGTTAGAAATTTGAAGAGAGTTGGATGCTTATCTCGCTTTCTTTGAGAATTTTGTTTTTCAAAAATCTGGAACCCGTGGGGGAGGTACCAGAAGAAATGGTCCGATCTCTATCATCTATATAACATATCTTGTGTTTATGGAAATATTGAGATGTTCCATGTCTGAATGGAAACGGATGCTAATTTCGCGTTTTATGAGCTTCATGGATACTCAAAATTTCGACCCTTTGTGGGGGAGGTACTAGAATGAGGGGACCGATATATCCCAATTTCATACCAGATCTTGGGCTAATAAAAATATTGAGATGTGTGTAAATTGAAGAGAACCGAATGCTTATACGGAATTTTCTGATCGTTTTGGTTATTTAAAACTTTGACTTTTTGTGGGGAAGGAACCAGAAGAAATTGTCCGATCTCTATTATCTTCATAACAGATCTTGTGTTGAAGATGTGCCAAATCTGAATGGAATCGGATATAAATTTCGTGTTTTATGAGCTACATGCATATTTAAAATTTTGACCCTTTGTGGGGGAGATACCCGAAGGAGTGAACCGATATTTTCCATCTTTACACCAGAATTTGGATAAATGAAAATATTGTGTGTAGTTCGAAGACAATCGGACTCTTGCATCACATATTTATAAGGGTTATAATTTTTCCAAATGTTGACCGTTTGTGGGGGAGGTACTTGATGGAGTGAACCGATATTGTCCATTTTCGCACCTGACCTAGAACTGATGCAAATATTTGGATTCGTAAAGCTTGAGCAAAATCGGATTATCCTTCCTCTTTCTGCGCAGAAAATATTTTTTTTTTTTTTTTTGAAAATTTCAATTTTTGTGGGGGAGGTACCAGAAGGAGTGAACCGATAATGTCCATCTACGAACTCGATCTAAGTTTGACAATAACATTACGATGTACCAAGTTTGGATAAAATGGAATATTCTTTTCGAGAGTTATCGTGCGCATCAGCCAGACAGACGGACGGACATCGCTAGATCGACTCCAAATGTCCTGAAACGGATTTGATTCAAAGAGACCTAACGTCTAAAACCATTATTTCGAAGAGGCACGTTTTGGCCATATCAAATGATGAGCCATATGGCTGAGGGTATAAAAAGAGCTAAAACGTATTGTGGGAAGGAATCTAAAATTTTAAGGTGGACTTTTCGCTGATAAAGTATTGGGCACTTGCCAGTACCCCTACAAAGGGCTAAATAATAAACCTGTGGACTAAGTATTGTCACGGTTTCCAAATCTATAAATTGTAGTATTTTTGTCTATCTTGGTTCTAGTTCCAAGAAAGACAGCTCCGACTCACTTGCTTCAATGCCTTCCTTTAAATTGCCACCTCTCCTGATTTGAAATATATTTAAAGTATCAAATTAATTTTTCCGATTTAACGAGTCAGTTTCTCAGAGGGTACAAAATCGCCCTGCAAAAAATATACAATTTTTAATATGCCCCGCATACAGTGGTACCTCTTGATTTTAGGTATTCAAAGAGTATCTCAATTTTTAACCGAAAAGGCTGTATTTTGTCACTTTGGATTGTGGTTCAAAGAAACTTCGATTTTCCATTTTTTTAATTTCGGACCATGTTTTGGCCTGAGTCCCATATTGCGATTTTGTTAGAATTTAAGAGTTTAAAAGGTCCTAGCTGAATTTTTTATACCAAAGTGACTTAAATTTCATATTTAGAAATCTGAATAAGTAAAACGTATCTTCGCAAAGAAGTTCTAATGTACATAAATTTATTTTATTATGTCTACTATTTCGGAATGATATTTCAAAGGTTTTATTCCTCTAAATTTAAAAAAATTTGAAAACAGTAGATTTTGTTTAAACTAAAATTTTTTCAGAATGGAGGGTATGAAATGTCCAATTAGGATAATTTGATATCGCTGTTTGTTTAAAATTCTTATCTAAGTCAGTATTGAAATGTTTGTATTACTGGCCTTATTATTTAATATTCTTGCAGATTTCCGAAACATCTGACATTCTGCCTATACCTATAAAGTATAGCCTACCTTTAGCTAATTCTCTATCTACAGAAGATTTTATGGAGGAACAGTCTATGAGAGCTAGAAATTTTTTTAATTTATAGAGGGCCCTCAAAGAAGATTTACAGAAGATCTCTTTGATAAGATCCTACATACTGGATGTTATAGGTTATAGTGTTATGTGCATATATACAAGGCCCATAGGATATTTTCAAGATACTGTAAATTTAATTAAGGTATTTTAACACATAACTTACTTACTTTATTTAAATATATATATTTTATAAAATTTTTATTGTCCCAAAAACTAATTATGAAATTACTTCCCTTTCCCGTTCCTAACATTTTATCTCGTTTTATCATCGTTTTTCTTTCTGATGTCGAGAACTCCATAAATTCATTAAAACAAGATATCAATAAAAAAACCTTTTTCTAATAAATAAACTAAACCATTTTCAATGGCACATCCTTTTTCCGGCAGATGTCAAACAAAAGGGCTATGGTGTCGAACCAAAACTCACCAAAAAGCAAAAAAATCGAGGATAAACATCTTCACTTTTGTTGTCTTTTGTTTGGACAAATTCAATCGATGTTTTGTTATTCCTCCCATTCTCTGTTGGCAAAATTCAAAATTCCTTTGTCAGTCAGTCAGTGATGTTAAGCCTAGAAAAAGGCAAAAGGCTCTAAGGGGTCATTGACATTCCTCAGTTTTTGTGAGAAATATTGGCATCACACCAAACCAAGGGAGGTTTGCTCTCACACACACGTACACTCAAATAACCCTATAAATATTATGTATTAAGGAAACTAATTTACATACATTCCGATTTAACATACATACATATTTACATATATACAAACATACATGTACCTATCTACATTACCAAGTAGAGCGTCTTTACTCGCTCTCTTACATGAAGCAAATAATTCTTACTCCCCTCTCCCCCCAACCACACCAACACATGTTTATATGTTTGCCAGATAACATTTGTAAACATAAGTGTGTTATCATGACTTTGTCCTGGTTATGTAAAATTACAACAACAACAGCACCAGTAGCTACTGCTGCTGCTGCGCTGGGGAAATCATTTCATGAGATGGAAATTTTTTTTAAATGCAGACACAGCGGCAGTAAAACACACCGGCCGGCCGCTTCTATGCGGAAGCCGACGACAGATAAATGGAAAAATATTATGAGGAACTTACTTGTGGTTGGCGTTATTGTAATACTGAGAATGAAGAGAAAGTGGTTATTAATGTGGTTGGGAAGGTCTCCAAGGTCCATGGCAAATTAAAAAGGCTAATTTTGGTTTGCGGAAATTTGATCTTAAATTAGGTTTACATAGAAGCTCTGGCAGTAACTGAAAATTGCCGGAATTCCGTTTAGGCGACTTTTGTCAAAATTCTGGGAAGGCACGTGTACGATGTCTATCGACTTCTGTGAAAGGAGTCGCCAATGAGTTGTTTCATGGAATAAGAAGTAATCTCAACAGTATCTACAAATTCTATGGGAGAGCTTTAATTTAGAAAAATTTTCAGATTCAGTTTCTGCTCAAAACTTCCGATGCCTAAGCACGGATTTGTTATAGTTTCAGATATTCATAAGACGCTAAAAATCTTTGGAAGAAGCTGAATGTCTTAGTATGAGTAAGAGTCCCTTACTATTTTAAAAACTCAATTGGAATGTTCTGCGGATATTTTGTGGAATGGAAATATCCTCGAAGGTTCGTAAAAGTACTC